GTGCTGAATCTCATGTGCAGCCACTCTGCTGGATAAACACAGGTTCTGGGTTTGACCAGGGACGCCAAGACTAGACATGACAAACTCGTACCAGCGCTGGGTTTTTTGGAGCATTAACTGTCTCTCTGATCACAGCATTAAAAATGCACAATATTGGCTGGCTACAAGACCCTTCTTATATAGAAGGAAAGAGATCGGAAAGAAGAAATAAGGGAAAGAAAAGGACATGTTGGGGTGGAAGGAAAGCAAAATCTCACATCTATGGGCTTTGGATACCATAGGCTGTGGCTCCCCAGACATGCCTCCCACTTCCTTTCCAGTCTAAGTGCAGCTCCAGTGCCCCAGTGCTGAGCTTACAGTGTAGGTGCTGGGGAGTGCTGGTGGCCTGTGCTTTACGGGAGGTCAGACTCAATTATCTCATGAACCCTTCTGGCCTTGAACGGTAACCCCAGAGCACCGTGGTGGAACAGCTGCATATCACTCTTGCCCCAAGGCGATTTTAGGGAGTGGTAACCACTGCATTTTAACCTGTGTCATAGAATCATAGCAGATCAGGGCTGGAAGATACTTCAAGAATCATCTAATGCAACTTCCTGCTCAAACCAGGACCAACCCCAACACAATCATCCCAGTCAGAGTTTTGTCAAGCTAGTCCTTAAAAACTTCTAAGGCTGGAGATTCCACCCCCTCCCTAGGGAACCCATTTCAGGGCTAGTAACAGTTATGAGTTCTTAAGTAAATTATTGTTGGAAGAAATAATTGTTGATGAATGATCTGCCATCTGGCAAATCTGTGATTTGCATTGAAAGAAACAGAACCTGAATAAGCAAAACTCCTGAAGCCAGGTGAGAGGAATGGGAGCTAAGCAGCTGGTATTTTTAGAAATAATTTTGACTGCGTTCTTGGGTCATTTCCCTATTTCTTTGCTCTGACGGGATGTGACATGACTGGCCTGGAACTTGTGAAGTTCCCTTCAATAGATCTCTCTAGTGTGGGAACAAAACTGCTGAACAAGGCATTTTCTCGCTCTACACCAAAAATATGTTGCGATCTTTGACAGATGCAAATATCAAAATGAAAAGATGCTTAAATCCTAGTAAAATGGAATGACAACAGAACTGCTATGCTCCCAATACACACAAAAACTCTTTCTAAAAGATATACGAATTGGGTTATACACATCTAAAGCAAGTATGGGGCGGATTCGCTGCCGGCATTAATCACTACAGATCCATTGGCTTCAATTGAAGGCCTATGAGTCATGCCAGATGAAGTTCTGGCCAAGGAGCTGTACATTGGTGAAAAGAAGACTAGTTGCTGAGCATATGCAATAACAACTTTTCCTCAGTTAGAACCAAGTATTGTAGTCCTTTCTTAAGCAAGTTGATTTCCAGGGGAGCTCTGCTCTGGTAAGGATGGCAGGATTTGGCCATCATATCCCAGTATTTTATAGAGTTGGACAAATAATGTGTTTTCTCAACAATTTCTGCACAAAAAAGAAAACTAACTTTTGTGAAAATTTTCTCAGTTTTTGTTCTCCTTTTCCCCACAACCATTTCTGTTTTAAATTTTGTTACCAAAGTACTTAAAGGGACTATTTAGCACCTTCTGTCTTTGTAATTATAGCTATTTTCAGTTCTATGGGTTTAAAGTCCCTTGCCAGTACTTTTCAACCTGCCTCACTGATGATGCTTTTCCATCATGAGCAGCATGACATTTACAAGTGTGCTTTGCTTCATGCTGCCCCCACCATCACATGCTCAATCCCTACTGCAAGCAGCACACTTTAACCCAAAAAGTGAGAAGAGCCACAGACTACATAAAGCCCATTTAGAACATCATTGCTAGTCTAAAAGGTGCCCACATACCCCAGTGATGGGTAGGAGTATGAAACCCTAACATATTAGCGGAGTAGCACTATTGTGTTACTGAAAGTGGTTGGAGATTGAAAGAAAAAGTTTAGTTGTTTCCCAGCATACATTTTTGTTAGAATGGGATTTAAGGTAGTGGTGTCTGTGGTCTTTAAATGAAGGCTGGACAATTCCGGTCTACAGTGAACTGAAGTGGAAAAGGAAGACTGAAGGAGAGGCTATAGTATGAAGTGCTGCAGTCTGTTGTCTGGCATAGGGACATAACCTGGATTTTGGTCTGCATACGGAGCATGGGAAGAAAACAAGATGCTGTATCTGGTTCTGAAGGGCACGATGCTTGTTGGCTAGGTAGCTGGCTAATATGGAAAGTGTGGGTGGTTTGCACACGAGAAGCCAGAGTGTGGGGATAGCTAAGTAGGAACACTTTGTTCATAGTAGAAGTATAGAAGACTTATGCTGTGTGGGTGACATGTCCCAGGATGATGTTTAGAGGTATCAGGTGGTCAAGGATATAGACAGAGGGAAGTTTGTTTCCTGACATTCAAAGATGTTGAGGATATTTTAAATTGCAATATTCTAATACATTTTTAAATATAAAATGGTATACTGTATTATACACACAACAGTGTTAAAGGGACATTATTTAGGTGGCAAAGTCTAGAACCCAAAAGTCAATGCCAGAATTAAAGTTGTCCATACCAAAATTACAGTGTATTTTCTCTGTGAAAATTAAATTTTCTCAGTTTAAAAGAAATTATTTTAATAATTCAATTTATTACTGTTTATAAAACTGGAATTAGTAACAGATTGTTCTTATCTTCACTCATCAGTTTGTGCACCTTGCAACCTGGGAGAGGCACATTTTGCTCCCAGATACATTGGTGTAATTTCAGACTCGATTTACATGGTTGCAGGCCTGGCCTTATGTGTGGGCCAACTGCTCAGGGCACTGTAATTGGGGGGTGCTGTGGTCAACAGTGTGTTAACGCCCCTTGGCAATCACAGCAGTGGTGGCTGCAGCTCCTTTGGCTCCCTGGGGTGTGGCGCAGCAGCCATTGGGGTCTAACAAGAGCATGAAGCGGCCATGCCCAGCCCAGCCCAGATCATCTGTGGCGGGGTTCAGGAGGCATAGGGCTGCGAAGCTGCTTTGGGTCTCCCCATTTTGACTTCTCCCTCTGCTCCCTCTGCTGTGCACGTAGGCTAGCTGTCAGGAGCTGCATGTGGCTGCGCATCCCCGCTCCCTCCCTGAGACATGCCCAATGGCAAACGGGAGCCAGGAAACCCAGAGCCCAACCTGCAGGCAGCCCCCTGTCCTGCCCCACTCACCTGTCCAGCCCAGCTGTCAGCAAAGCAGAGGCAGCTTCCCAAGCCAAGAACTGAGCTAGTGACTCCCTGCTGCTCCCCCTCCCCCCAAGAGATCTTCCCCCTCTGGCCTTCTCAGCAGAATCTGCCCAATGTTTTTTCCTGTGCCCATCACCCAGGGGACAGAGGGGGCAGTGCCCATCACCCAGGGGACAGCAAAGCAGGAGCAGGGCAGGGGAGGAAGGAGGGTGACGTGCGGCACCTGGGCAAGTGAAGCAAGGGAAGGGGCGCCA